TCTTTTTCCCTCAACTCTAGAAAGCTGATCATTTAAAAAAGAATGATTATACTTCTTAGAGACCTGCCATGATTCCGACTTCCCATTTGGATTGAAATAAAACTTCCAGCTACAGCTTTAAGGCCTTCCACTTCCTAGCAGCATCTTTTCCCAATTAGACTTGAAAACCTCTAAGTCTTCACTCTACTACCTGTCTATCATTTTGTTATAATGTGGTGGCTTGCATGTTGCTATCATGCTGGAAGCTATGCCACTGGTATTTCAAATACCAGCAGGGTCACCTCTGATGGACAAGTTTCATCAGAGCTTCCAGACTAAGACAGACTAGGAAGAAAGGCCTGGTGATCTGCTCCTGAAAATTAGCCAATAAAAATCTTATGGATCACAACAGAATACTCCAATATAGTGTTGGAAGATGAGCCCCCTTGGTTGGAAGGCACTACACGAAAACCACAACAATGGTCTCAAACATGCCAATGATCAGGAAGATGGTGCAGGATCGGGCAATGTTTCATTCTGTTATACCTAAGGTCGCCATTAAGTTTGAGCTGACTCAACAGCAATTAACAACAAGTCTTCACTGAGTCAGATATTCAATGGCCTCTTTATCTTGACCTGAGCTCTCAGTGTGGCTCAGCAAACTGTCCCGCTGCTCCCTCCTTTCTGCGTGCCCCCCCACCCCCCGCAACAAGGACTCACTCTTCTGTGTCTCCAAGCTGATAGTTCTGAAATGTCATCTGCTTTTAGGGATATCATCCTGTTTCTATGCAAGCTACAACACTACTTGCCTTCTAAATTATTCTTAAAGCTAAATTTGTTTCTAGAAAATAGTGGATCCCTCCTAGAAGCCCAGAACCATAATAAAAAGGCTACAAAGAACCTTAATAAAACTTCTCAAGAGAGAAACCGAGCTATATTCTCTTACGATAATAAAATAAAACTAGAAATTAATTTTAAAAAATTGGAGCAACTTCAACTTGTTAAAATACATTTGTTCATGATACACACACACTTCTAAATTATTTTGAATCAAAATGGAAATCAAGATATAAATGCAGTCTTTTTGTGGTAATAACATAGATTAAAATACCATACAACTTATGGGACATGTCCTGTATCTTGAGGTTAGTCCATAGTCTTAAATGGATTTATTAATAACGAAGAAAGAATTCAGACAAATTTACTAAAGAGTTCAATCAAAAAGTTTAAAAGAACAATAAAGTAAGCAAACAAGAAAAAGAAAAATGTAAAACAGGGATTAGAAAATATAATAACTGAGAAGTAAATTTATGAGTGCTTTTTAACAACATGATAGAACTCTGTGAAACTTAAGAAAAAAAATAAAGAACACACAAATTCCATTCAATGGGAAGAATTTAACAAAGAAACCAAGAAAATTTAAAAAGAGAAACAAAACAGAACATTATAGGAGATTACTCTGGATAGTTCATGGAAAATTAGGTATAATCAAAATATGTGACAACTTGAAAGTCAAATGTTGCCTCCAACCAAATTATTTTGCTCCATTATTTATTTTTTTTCCTTTTTATACATTTGTATGCCCTATAACACTTTGCATATTTCAACTTTATTTAAGCATCTGCTTTTTGTTTGTTTTTGAGCAGTGACTATGTCTGGAAATCACTCTGGGATGCCTGTAGGACGCATTGCTCTAGGAAGCCCAATAGCTTCTATGACACACAGGATGTTAATGAAACTGAGGTGTCAGGTGTAATGGCGAACTCTTAAGTGCCAATAGAATTGACTCATCTTAGTGAGATGCCAGCAGGTAAATAGCATGTTGTTCACATACTGCCCTTATACCTCCATTAACAAAAAAATCTTGTTGGCAAAAAAATGACAGAGTCACTCGAAAATATAAATGTGATGTCTCCTCTGATGTACATATCCTTGTAAATATTACTGACATAGTTCTTCTTCCTCTAAGTGTAAACCATTCTGAAAGCATAATTGAGATTAAACCACTGTGCTGATTTGGCTGTTAATGTAAGCTGATTGCTTACCATCCTCTCGATTTATTTTGTGTAGCCAAAGAAGTACAGCACGTGTTGTTTAGTTTTCAAAATGGACTGACTTTTGTAGGGATATTGTTACCTAGGTTAACTTAATCTCTCAAAAAGAGAACTGGAAAGAGCCTTAAAGACAAAATTCAATGCTCCTCATTTTAAAGATGGATTTATCTATTAATCCATTGAGCACACATATATTGGAGCCACTTATGCTTGGGCCTAGGTTATACTCACAGAATACCAAGTTGAATATGAACCCTCCCTGTTCTCAAAGAGCTTGGACACTAGTTATCACTGTATTGCCATTCAGGTGTGTTATCATGTCTAACAAGCCTCACACACAGTGATAAATTTTTGGCATGTAATATCATCTCCATTTTACAGGAGCAAATGGAACGCAGAAGCTTCTTCCTAAGACACTGTTGGCGCATGGTGGGCTTTTCAGCTATGCCAAAACAGTAGGGCTCCTGTCTGAAACATATCATTTAACATGAGAGATCAGGAAAAACAAAATTTACTATTTACATGTATTTATTCAAATATATATGTGAATATATACACACACAGAGATGCATATATACAAACACACACACAGACACACACACACATAAATAAGTGTTCATACGTAGTTTAAAAAAAAAAAAACATGTAAAAATGCCTTATATGGGCATTTCCAAAATCTAGGTTTTCTGGGCAGCCTCCATCAATTCTGAGAATCCAGACCTCTAAGTTTGGGGAGTATCACCTGAAGACAGATGCTGACTTCTCATGAAGTCCGACTGCAGAGAACAAGCCAGAAGTCAGAGCGCACCTTGTTGCCAGAGCGTGAACTGGCTCCAGTCGCCCTTCTCCCGCAGGTTTTCATCCTCTGGCAGGAAGAGGCCTCTGGCTTTGTCCATCACTGCCAGGCCTTCGTCGCGAATTAACTTCCAGTTTCTTTCTAAGGACTAGAGGGAAGACTGGTTTTAATGGAATGAAAATATACCTGGCAGGACATCCTATAATGAGTCTTAACTTTTTTTTTTTAATAAAATAATGTAATTTTTGCCCTCATCTTGATTGCTTATCTCAATTTCCTCTGAGACCTCTTGTCAAAGATACTAAAAAAAAACCTGTATATTATTTTTCAGAACTAAATGCTTTTGCATCATAAAAATTTCACAAATTCTTGGAAACCTCAGAGAATATCCCCCTTCATAATTCATATTTAGATTTTCCCGAAGTTTTTTTTTTTTTAAATCACAACCAACAAGGGTATTGAGCTTCCCCATCCTATTACATCACTAATACGTAATTTTATCATCAGTAACTACATCACTACTACAATAAACTCCATGTGATAATCGCAACACCCAAACTGGAATACAAATCACTGACTTTACTTTACTTTTCAATAGAGTTCCCTACAAAGATGCCATTCAGCCTGGTAAACATTAGCTAAACTTTCAAAAGCATTGGAAAAGCATCTATTGGAGCATGTCATGTCGCATACAACTACGATAAGACAAAACAATACAAATAAAGGCCTCAGTGCTTAGAATTCAGCCAAACAGAAACATTTCCTTGACTTCTCATTTATGCAGGTGCTTTGCCCATTTCAGAAAAAGAGTTTGCAACCAGTAGAGCTTCGACGTGGCTGGGCTCGGGCCAGAAATTTGGTGGAAGAATGAGCAACCTGGCCTATCTCCTCCTGCAATTCTCGCTGCCGCACTCTGCAGGCGGTTGGGGCAGGAGTGCAATGGGAGGCAGCTGCAGGGAAAGTGGGGGAGGGCGAGCATAGAGAGACACAGACTGCAGGGAATTGCTCTCCGGAGAAGGGAATATAAACTGCTATCCTACTCTATGGAAGAGACTACCCTGCACAGATAAACCAGGATTTTGAAATGTTCATAATTTCAAACATTCCTATGTTAAATGAGAAGTAGATAAAATAGTTGAGTAGATGAGTATACAATAGCTCATTTCAATACAAGGGTTAGATATATTTTACATGGCTCAAGAGCATGGGACTAGAATTTACAAGTTACATCCAAAGAGAAAAATTTTGACTCAGAAAATAAAAACGGCAATTAGAGCTTGTTGAAAATAGACTGAGTTGCCTTGTAAAATGTGGCTCTCTACCACTTCAAAGAGTCAAGGGAAGGCCGGATGACCAGTTACTGGGTAGAGCAAACGACAGATGATGTGGACAGGGTTTTTACCAACCCATGCTTTATGAGTTCATGACTCTATGCAAGAAAACAGATAAGGAGTCAGGATGACAGAACAGGCAGAGGGTCCTGCTAAAGACAGACACGCTCGGAGATTTGTGTGAGATACAGTGCTAACCTCAGCCAAACA